GCCCCTCTTACCCAGCCACACCAGTAACCAGTGACGCAAGTCAACAAACCAACAACCCGCTCCTCAGACCCAGCCACACCAGTGACGCAAGTCAACAAACCAACAACCCGCTCCTCAGACCCAGCCACACCAGTGACGCAAGTCAACAAACCAATAACCCGCCCCTCAGACCCAGCCACACCAGTAACCAGTGACGCAAGTCAACAAACCAGCAACCCGCTCCTCAGCTCAGTCCCACTTTCTGCACCCTCGTCGTCAAACTCACTCAACGCTCTTGTAATCGACACCTCCCCCGACCATGACCTAACCGACGAACCTTTCCGTACCCTCCGCCCACTTCCAGCGACACAGAGGACTTCACACTACCACAACCACACCAGAACTTGAACCTATATCCTGACAAACATCAGAAGAATCCGTAGCTCATTTAAACTTTAGTCTACCCCCAGCACCAGACTTCACTTTACCCTTCCAACTTACTTCTTCTCGTGAAACGGGCACTGGAAACGGATTGGTCGTTACCAGTGAAAGTGGGTTTTCTCGTCCCCCTCCTCAACATCAAAATATTATTGGCATAGGATTTATAGATCCCCCCGCCGCTCTGATGGACCATCTGTCCTATATTTGACGTTTAGTTTTTAATTACGCTTATTTAAGTTTACACAACTTGTTTATATTAATTTCTTCAATATAATTACTTCAATTCAAGCCCATACCTTTAGTTCACGCGCGGGGTGAAGGAGGATTGCTTAATCTTCGAGCACCCCTGATTATTAATTATTTCTTTGAAAATAATTAATTTCCAATCAAATAACTGCCAGAAATAATATATAGTTCTTTCTAATATTTAATTCTTGCGTAGTTGTATATAAACCCTGTATACTTAGCCCATAGATCATGCCTGAATGTAGGTTGAGCCCAATATATAATTCTTTATTATGCTTATAAATTTACAACTGTATTAGTATAATATATTTCTTTATAAAACATGCTACAAACATTTCATTACAAATGCTATTATAATAATTTAAGTTTAATAAATATTTATTATCATTTTCTATTTTTGGTTTAATTTGTAGCCTCAAAAGAGGCCTGCAAAAATTGCCATAGCCGACGATATTTCACGTCGTCTTAGCGGGGTATTGGGAAAAGTTTTCAACTAGCAATAGTCGCGCCTCGGATAAACCTCATTGGCTACGACATCGCCTCTGCGCAAAGCTAAAGATATTGGATAGCCAAAGTGAATATGTAGTACGAGTTTTAAGGCTACTGTATTGGTGTGTTTTATATTTGTATTGGAAAATTTTTAAAATACTCTTAGATTTCCATAGTGCATAACAACATTTCATGGCAGTATATTTATTGCATAATAGTTGTTATATTATTTTATTCTTTCATTTGCACGTCGTTTCGCATTTCTGTGTAAATTGGTATATTTTTGTGTATTTTTCAAACATAATCTTGGTATGTAGCGATCAATGTGCTGATGACAACGCACCTTCCCTCTGTCGGTCACATTTAACATTAAAGTAAGGAACAAATGTAAATATATATATATATAACTAAAAATTATATTTCAACAACATAACTTGAACAAAATAGTAATGATAGAATAATAAAAAGACTTACAGCTTCGATCGATAACGTTTGAGGAGAGGAGAAGCTCTGTTACCATTTTTTAATCCTTTGACAGCAATGCGCATGCGCTAAATGTAAACGAGACAAAAGTGTTCTAACTTCCCAAAGAATAATCTGAGCCTACACCAACGAAGCTTGTACTGTTTCTGTTATATCCTTTGGCTAGATAATAAGTCGATAGATTAATTTATTTTTGTCCCGTTGTCTTTACAATTAAAAACAGTGGTAAAATCGGGCATACGGTGGCTCTAAGTAAGATAGGATTTAGCGATGCACCGCTAATATGAACTAAGTGGTGTGACAGTTAAGGTAATATAACCTCAAAACACTTGTATTACTTTAGACAAAGATTTCTTTGTTTGTTTAATTTCGTACGAAGCTACTCTGGGGCTATCTGCTACAGTCGTCCCTAACTTTAAAGTGATAGGCTGGATGGAAGTCAGCTTGTAAATGTTGGTCACCACTAACGCTTGGACTACTCTTTTACCAACGAATAGTCGGATTGGTCATCACGTTATCATGCCCTCGCGGCTGAAAGGGCGAGCACGTTCCATGACAGGGTTCGATCCCGAGAGTCAAGTGTTGTAACTCCAAGCCAGTAGTAGATGACCATCTAATTTATCTCGATAGCATAAAAATATTTGGACATACAGGTACATAAAACAAACTAAGTTTCGTTATTAAATATATTTTTGAACAAATTTCAGACTTTTAAAAAATTATACTTTTCTTAAATACCAAATATTCATCCAGAGCAGAAGCTTTAAACTTATAACTGTACATAGTGTAAAGGTCCACAACCGCATAACTTAGGTTTAGCTATGCATGTTTTGATACAATTAATTTATCTACAAAGTGGTATTTTAGGGACACTTATCAGGTAACTTAAGAAACTCGAAAGTAATCCGAAACGTCGCCAAACTTGAATTACCTGGTAATTTGTCCATATAACTTCACTTGTACATTTTCCTCCTAAATTATACTTGATAATAATACCTCTAAAATAATTAAGTAATTTACCCGTCACTATTGTCGTGACAGTCATTATATATATTGCCTTTTTTCGCGTAAAACTACACTATGAATTATCTGCGCTGAAGTTTTGCATTATATGCCCACAAAGTCCACGTACTCATAGTATCGCTGAGCCACCGACTGGCGCCAAGAAATATTTTATACGTAATATATAATGTCAAAAGTTTATATTTTAATTACCCTTATATGTTTACTAAAGTGTCTGCGAATATTAACAAATTGAAAGCATGTCTCTCTTGTGTACAACTAGACTCTATTATAATCTTTCAGTAGATATTGTTGTTTTCATATTTACATATCGTCATAGTGTGTCAACGAATATGAATACAAGAAATAAGTATGACCTTTTGTTTTCGGAAGACTAACGAAGGGCTCGGAAACATCAGCTTCTTTTCGTCCCGCTTGTAATGGAGGTGAAGGCTATTCTTTGAGGTGTGTTATTCAAAATTCTTGACGTTTTTGAAGGTATCATTGCATCACTTCACAACTACCAAACAGTCGGTAACCTCCCGAGGTTTACCTCGGAAGATTTTATACCGAAATAACTGTCACGTTTTTTTATTTTGTTTTGGCACTGTTTGATTAGACAAGAGTTATCGGCGAGTGTTGTTAGCTAGCTGTTTTCCCTCTGGTCTATCAGTTCAAAATCAGGGACAGCTAAGCGCAGATAGTCCTTATATTACTTCTGTAGCTTTGTCCGAAAGTTCGTAAACGTATTGTCTACATCAAAATTATGAGTCCTTTTATAAGACAACTATATTTTTTGTTGAAAGAAGAGTTAGTTGTTGTTAGAGGCCACGGGTATCTTAAAATCATATTAAAATATTGCTAGATATATGTATTTATTTTGCAGTATTAAATCATCATGTGATATTTCTTTGCATGGCTATGTGAAAAGAAGATTTGTTTTTAATTTAAGGCTAAGGTAATCGTTTCATAATGGCTTCACTTTAGGTCTGGGTCAGGGAGAGCTTCGAACGTGTATCATACTATCCAGCGGTTGGTGCAGGCATTTGCCGAGAGAGCTCGCCGAGTGAAGGAAAAAATTGTTCAAACACCAACACCATCTCCAAGTAAGTATAAGAAATTAAATCAAATATAAATTTAACTTCAGTGTGTAACACATGAAAGACTATTTCATTGAGTTATTGATACAATTATGAGTTTTAATTCTTTAAAAGTTTTTAGTACAATATTTTTATTTCAATTTGACATGTCGTTTTCGTTCGAAAAAACAACAACTTGATCAACAATTATTTTTAACCCGAACATTAAAGAAAATTAAAGTTTTAAGAAAAATTTATCTGTACTATGTAAAGTGCACAATATGGTTCAGAAATGTCACGAAAGCGTGTACAGTTTCTCTGTTTCATCTATTTCAAATTCGTGTAGTAAACGGTAAAAACCTGTAGAGGCGGAAGATATTCAAAGATTCTGGTTCTAAGAGATTAAATAGATGCATATAGTGCCCGCACTTGTGAAACAAAATAATTTATTTGTAATGTTTTTGTCTTAGGCCTACATCACAATGAAACTTGAATTATTTCATTTTTCTGTTTGTAAAGTGAATGCACTGTACATCTGATTTTACTTTATACATTTTGTTTTATTTTATTCAAACATGATTATTTAATAACGTACAATTATGATGATCATATGAACTTTCAGTTGTAATTATATGTTTATTGATAAATTTGCACAACATTTGGAAATATTTATTGGTATATATGATTTATTAAACTTTTTGAATTCAGCACCTGTAAGTGTAAAGAGGAAGGACACAGACCTAGATCTGTCAGGAAGAAGTAAAACGTAATTGAGAATCTTTTATGCCATTACTGGTTTCGTGTGTCAAATAACTATACACCACAGAAATTAAATAAATCATTGGTGATATTTTGTAGATTTACTTGTGGAACTTTTACAAAAAAAAAATATATCGAATATCATTAAATACTTATATATTCCATGAAATAAAGATTGTGTAAGATAGTTATGATAGTAATAATACATCTATGTGGATATTCCATGTACATTTTTTACATTACATTACATTTTTGGACTTGAAATCAATCAGCTGTCAAAGTGTATAAAGAAGGTTTAAATGCTTGTGACTTTGACGTTACTGTCCCTAAACAACACGATTCGTAGAATATACAGATAAAATACAGGTAAGAATTTTCATTGTGGCCTTATGAATAAATATTGTTTAGTTATTCTGCAAATGTATAAAAAGAGAACTCTACGACATACTAAAGTACAACAACAACAACTAATGACAAATTAACAAAATTTCAAACATACAATTTCAAAAGTTTTTTACCCTTGTTGAACAGCATCTTCTCTTAATGAGGAGGAAAATGAAAAACAGCATGATCGACCACGTTTAGCGTCTTTAATTCAAAATGACGATCCATCTGCTGCTAATGATTGGATGGAAGAAGACAAAGGAATTTGGTATTGCAGAATGTCTAAGCAACTTCTTCTTTCATTCCCACGAGTTCTGGATCCACAAAGTAAGTCAATAGTTTATGGAAACTAGTGTTCTTACGAGAAAAATATGTTACAGAGACTCTTAGTCTTCTTCTTTAAATGAATACATCATGATATATGGTGTGTTAAAGTTTCTCATGATTAGCACATAGATTTACTTCCAATTTCACCAGAATATTGTTTTCAACATTGTTTTATTATTTGTTTTTTAATCTTTCCAATCATGTATATTTTATTATTTAACTATCATTTATTTATTTATCAGGCTGTTATTTGGTTAAATAGTAAATCTTATTAATCATAATTTGTTTATCTGTATTAGTCCTTGTGTAACTTGTCTATCTATCATTTATTTTTGTATTTATCAGTTCTTGTATTGTGGTCTATTCTATTCGTATATATATACTTTGAATTAATTAACTAGTCATTCTTATTGCATGTCTTCCGAGTTATCTTCACCCAGTTCTTTATCTAACAGTCTGTCCTGATGTATAACCTTTTGTGAGTGTTCCCTTGAGCTATGTGGGGTAATATATTACAGGGATAATGAAATAAGATTGCATTCACCAGAAGAAAAGCTTTACATTCCTTCATGTAAAGTTGCATTTCCTCATGAATTGTTTCTTTATTCAATCCGTGTAATATATTTACTTTCATTGGTCATAATTAAAGGAATACGGATGGACCATTCTTGATTGAAAAAATCAACCAAAAAGATGAAATTCCTCAAGCAAAGTTAAATTCCTCAGAAATACAGGAATATAATATTTCGATCCCTGAATTACGCGGTTGGAATAAAGGCTTAAATGAAAGATTATGCTTAGAGCAACAGGTGCCCGTAGTTGAACCTGTGAGATAGGGTTTAGGGTAAGAGTGAATTATACATTAAAGATGGGCTCCAGGTTAGGTAGTAGGATGTTATGGGAGGCTCTAAATATGTTCATTGAAGGTAGTTTAAACTAAACTTGTATATTGGTAAGGGAGTTTTGAAAATTGGGAATAAACGGATTGGTAGGATAGCCAGGGTAAAGAGGAAATTGGAATTATAACATATAGAACATTATATGTTAAATATTATATATTTTTAGGTTTTAATGATAATTCTGTCAGATTCAAAGACAAACATAGTATATTCAATAATTAGCTTAGTTACTTGTATTCTAAGTTTAGGAGTATTAGGAACAAAATGGATAAGTTTAGGGTTAAAGATGAAATGGATGACTATAATCTAACAGTAAATTACTGAAACCATGAGAGAACTGCTTTATTGATCTTGAAAAATTATTTTCTGGATTCTAAAGTTCTAATAATAGAGCCTACATACCTAGAATTACATGCAGGACATGTATATTAATAAATTATCTTAGCAATTTTATTTTATCTTTCAAATTAAATATATTTTGAATTCTACACATCAGTTTCATTATGTAAATTTACAAAACTTCTTGATATGCCCTCCTAAGTATTTTATCAAATTGTTTTTTTAAGTTCTAAAGATTGTGCAGCTATAAATTATTTCCTGAAAATTAAAGGTGGGTTTGAATTATTTTATTTCTCAAGAGTGAATGTAAAACGATAGCTTTGAAGGGCCAGATGGTTTCTTGTTGTCCTTAAACTGTATGTAGTGTCTTTTTTTCTTTTCCTGAATGCAACTTAACTACTTTTATGTCCAATTTTTTATAGGTAAGTTTACATCTCCTGGCTACTGATTGTCACCTTGTGTTTCGTGTACAATGCTTGGTCCATTTTCTTACGAGCTGTGTTTCAATATCAAACACCAGAAAGTCTCCCATATCTTTTGAGTTTTGACTACTTTAGTGATGCTATCTACATAATAGATATGGTGGTCTTTAAAGTTCGTGTGAAGTATCTTCATGAGGGATTCTGGGTGGTGTGTATTAACATGTCTTTTACAAAGTATAGTACATATTTGCATGTAGTGTTTAAATAGATTAAATTGCCCTTACTTTACTAACACCTATATTAAAGTTCTGTGTAATAACCTAACATCTAAGCAGTGAAAAAAAAAACTGAAAGGCACTTTCTAAGATATTGAGAAAACCAAAATATAATGATGGTTGTACTGAAATTTATGTGAATAAGTCTGTATAGCTTGAATTTTACTAGAAATAATCACTTTGTCCACCAGTAAATTTTCTTTTGTAAGATCATTTTATGTTTCACATATAATGTTCGTTATAAGTCACTTTATTTTGTCATGAAAAGTTAAGAGGCATTTATACAGTGGTCTTTTACATGCACTCTGGAATACGGCCTGAAAAGCATTTTAATATTAAACTAATTTACTATTTTTTTATTACTGATATTCATTAGGAGATTGATCTTGACCAATGGACAGTTTTAATGGTTTTGTCTTGATGTATCCGGTTGATAAAATTTCAGAGTTCCTTATTTTCCTGCCTAGAAAGCACATTAGACCATCAGATGATAAGCAAGTTTAAACCATTTACATTTCATAGAGGAGGGGGGAGAACGGTAGTATCTTGGAGTAACCAAGCACATTTCTCAAAAGAGAGATTAGATAATAAATATATTAACTTGAATCAGCTATTTTAAAATTTGATTTTTAAGAATGTAAAATATGTTTGTGTTATCAGTTTAGAATGTTCACACTTTAAATTTTTTATTTCTCAGTTGAAAATAAAAGATATATGAATGTTTCTGCCGCTTCATATTTCAAAGTAATTAGAATGTAATGACTTAAATGGATATTTTGTTCAATTTGTTATTTGTAGGAAGATTTAGCAGCAACACGAAAAAACTATTTTAAGAAAACGATGTTTAAGGTGAGTATTCGGTATTGTGAAATCAACATTTTGATGGTGAACAAATTATTTTTCAACTTATTGTTGCCTTTTTTATTTTTTCCATGTAAAAAAAGTAAAAATTTCACTATATCTTCTAAAGTGTAAGTTTTATTAAGATCATAAATAATATTCAACGTTAAACTGGTACACTGTGTACCAGTTTAACGTTGAATATTATTTATGATC